GCTCGCCGACTCGAGCTCGGCCTGCGCCGCGGCGAGCTGCTCGCGCAGGCGCTGGGCCTCCGCCTCCGCCTCGCCCCGCTCCGCCGCCGCCGCCGCCGCCTCCGCCTCCGCCGCCGCCGTCGCCGCCTCCGCCTCCGCCCGCCTCTCCTCCGCCGCGCCGACCGACTCCTTGGCGAGCGACGCCTCTTGCGCCTGCGTCACTCGCTCGGCGGTGAGCGCCTCGGCGCGCAGCCGCATCTCGCGCTCGCGGCCCGCGGCGGCGCCCGCGGCGGCCCGCTCCGCCGCCGCCGCCTCGGCCGCCGCCTCGAGCTGCGCCTGAAGCTCCTTTAGCCGGCCGGCGTCGACGGCGGCGCGCGCCTCTGCTCTGGCGTCCGCCCGCTGCAGGGCGGAGGCGTGCTCGGCGGCGGCGGCGGCGAGCGCCTTTGCGAGCGCCGCCTCGGACTCCGCCTCGAGCGAGCCCACCGCCTCGGCCGCCGCCTCGGCCGCCGCCTCCTTGAGCAGCGCGACCTCCTCGCGCCGGCCCCGCCGCTCCGCGTCCAGCTCCGACTCGAGCCGGCCACGCGAGGAGGAGGCCTCGGCCGCCGCGGCGGCGAGGGACCGCTGCGCCGCCGCCGCCTCCTCGCGCGCCGCCGCCGCCTCCTGCTGCGCCGCCGCCGCCTCCTCGCGCGCTGCCGCCGCCTCCTGCTGCGCCGCCGCCGCCTCCTGCTGCGCCGCCGCCGCCTCCTGCTGCGCCGCCGCCGCCCGCGCCGTCGCCGCCTCGAGCTCGGCGTGCTGCCGGAGCGCCGCCTCGCTGAGCGGCGGCGGGCTGGTGGCGGTGGCGGCGGCGGCCCGCTCGCAGGCGTCCTCCGCGGCGACCGCCCGCTGCGTCAGCCGCTCGACCTCCTTTTGGAAGGCCTTCATCACCGCGGGGATCTGGGTCAGCCGCGCCTCGGCGTCGGCAGCGCGCAGCGTGCGGCACATGGAGGAGAGCTCGGCGCGCCGCTGGCTGGCGGCGGCGCGCTCGGCGTCGAACATGGTGAGGAGTGCGCGGGGCGTCGGGCGGTGTAGGTGGGGTGGCGGTGGGGAGGAGGAGAGAGAGGGCGGCCAGGGACGGGCGAACGTCGCGGATCGCGAGTAAAAGTCCGGCGGCACAGGCGGTGGCACCTCTTAGGGGAGGAGAGCCCCACCTGTCCCCCTGATCGTCCTTCCAAAATCCTGCTCGTGCAGGTGGGGACCCTGTCCTCGTCCCATCCCTCGTTTGGCGTGTCTGTTTTCTTTCTTTCTTTCTTTTCTTAGGGGAGCTCACTTTAGGGGCCAACACAGAGCGGAAGCAAGAGGCGTGCATCGGGTCGCGGCCGATCAATATTATCGACAAGTCTGACGGACAAACACAAAGAAATAGAGAACAAGGGCAAACGCTTTCCAAAGTCATCAGACACTCTGCGCTGTGGTGAGACACAGGGGCGGTAAAGAAAAGGGCAAAAATGAAACACCCCCGGTGAGAGTCGAACTCACAATCTTCCGATCCGGGGTCGGACGCCTTATCCATTAGGCCACGGGGGCTTCGAACCAGCAGCCACTCGATCCGCGGAGCGGCGTCGGGCAAGCTGTGCCAAGAGCCAAAGCTGTGGTTCAAGGAGCCCGCCGACTGGCGCCTCATATCCGGTTACAAAAGGAATCATTTTATGATTTTGGTGAAGGAAAGAGAGAGAGAGATAGAGAGAGAGAGAGAGAGAGAGAGAGAGAGAGAGAGAGAGAGAGAGAGCGAGAGCGAGAGCGAGGTAAATGTGAGGGTGATGGGAGTTTGAGTATATGGCGAGGGGGGTGGAGTGGAGATTTTGAATAGGTGGGGTT